TCTGGGAGTTGCAGTCCAAAACTCCTGAGTAACCCAAGGTTAAGAACCAGTAGATTAAAGGACCACAAAATTGCATAGTGGGTTCAGTAAATGTTTAACATGAGTCATATGGAGGCCAATTGCCCTAGTTTCACTGTTGTTGTCTGAAATTGACAATGAGGAACCAGAAAAGAGTAGTTCAATTCTGAATGTGGCAGTTGCAAAATAGTAAATTGCATTCTGCAGATTATTAAGAAAGGCTATGCTCCTGTTTTGCACCTGAAGGGAGTGGGAGGGACCTCTTGGCTAGCAGAACAGAGAGGTGAAGTTTTTAGTCAGGTCTGTCAGGGCTCTATAACACTTGCCAAAGAAACCTCAGTTATACTGTTTTTGGCTGGATTGTTGGATTGCTTGGATTGTTTCAAAATTTTCCATTCACATGACACACAGCTAATATCGATTCATTTGTTCCAGTAATCCTTTTATTTACTCCTTGGTGGGAGAGTTATTTTAAAATGTACTGATCATGTATTGCTTAATTCCTTATTGTTTCAACAAGTATAAACATTGCTGTTGAATTTTTTTTAAAAAAGGATATTGGTAAATTGTTAGTAGCCACCACAAAAACAACATCAATACATTGCTCATAAGGAAACACCCTTCCAACCATCCCTTGTGTGTGAAAGAGCACTTGAACCGAGAAAGAGACATTTCTTGCTTTGAACTGTAAAGAGAGGGGTGTTGCATTAATGTCCCCCCCCCTCTTTTTTTACCCTGTTCTTCACAATACTTTGCAAGTCTTTTAAAACCCACTTCCTCTTCCTGGTGCTGTGCAAAAGAGAAAGGAAAAATGAAAGCCAAGAACTGAGAGGGAGAGATATGCAGGGAAATAAGGAAAATGGGACAAGTGAGTAAAGGAGGAAAGGGAAAAGAGGAGGAGAGAAAGCTTGTATCACTCTGTCAATATTTCACTTTTGTAAATTTTTTTAAAAGGACAAGAGGGGGCTGATTGCCCCAAGAAACAGTAGAGAAAAAGAATCAAAACAAAATGAAAGACCAGTGTATCCTGATATAATAGTTCAAGTAGAAAGAAATGTAGCAACGCAGTTCAGAACAATGTAAATGCTCCCGCTGATACTTTGGAACATTCTAGAGCTTAGATAGACCTTTAATCTCTCCCTCTCCCAGTGTGCATATATTAGCATGCAAATACCTGACCCTCTCAGTTCCTTTTAGCCATCGCTAGTGAAGGCTTCTAGGGACATTCACTAGAGCTACTGTTAGTCTCCGCTGGACTTTGAAGTCCTTTATTCTTTCCTAGTGAAATTTATTTACTACGTTATTGTGTCCCTCTCCTTAAAGTAAGTCTCGTTATTTTATTTTAATTTTTCTCCTTCCCCCTTCCTCCTTCTTGCCTTTTATGGCCCCTGTGTACGACCTGTGGCAGGACAGTCCCCTTTGTTAGATGGACACTCCAAGTGCCTCTCTTGTTTGGGCAAATCTCACCAGCCCCATTCGTCCACATTGCCACAAATCTGGACCCCTGACTGTCTCTTTCTCACCAGCCCTCAGCTTCACCATCCACCTTGGATCCATCCTACTATTCTGGTTTCAAGTTTTAGCCCCCATCAGCCATCATCATTACACCTGAATCAGAGATGGGGGACATGTGTATGTGTGCGTAGGGGCATATGTGCGGGGGGGGGGAGAGATCTGTCTCCACGGCCCAGTCCTGCCAAGGCCATGGCCCAGGTACCAGGCCACAGACTTGAGGCTGTGGATTCGGGCCCTAGGGGATGCTTTCATGTTCTGCTGGGATCGTTGCCTTCTCTACATGTTTCCCCCACTTCCCTTAATTCACTGTGTGGTCATCAAAATCAGGCTGGAGAATGCAAATGTGATCCTGTTGACCCCATAGTGGTCCAGACAAGCCTGGTTCACTCCTCTCCTCCAGATGGTGTCAGATCGCTTCAGACTCCCAAGGCATGCAGACGTGGTATCTCAGAACAGCAAAAGGATTCTTCACCCAGATCTAGGCTGCCTCAAACTAACAACATGGAGGACACAATGGAAATAAAAACAGTCTTAGCAACAGCCAGGAAATATTGCACCATTCACACATATAGCTACAGATGGCATAGTTTCCAATCCTTTGTTGCTTCCAGGGGTTGCTCAGCATCTCACCCTTCTCTCAGCCTGATACTGAGTTTCTTCCTTCAGCTAAAGCAGCAAGGCCTATCCTCCTCTTCTCTCAAGGTTTGCCTCACTGCTGTTATCTCACATCAGCCTGAAGGATCTCTGGATTCCTGATTCCACAAACACACCCGCCTAAAATTGTTCCTGAGAGGCCTTAAATGTACCTTCCCTGACCACCATTTGCCTCCTCCTCAATGGTCCTTGCAGGTGGTTTTTACTTCCCTTATGAGGCCTCCCTTTGAGCCTGTGGCCACCTGCAACATGCACTTACTCACTTTTAAGACTGCTTTCCTTCTTGCTGTCACATCTGCTCGTTGAACCGTGAACTGTGCACCCTCTGACATGACTCTCCATCTCTGCAATTTTTCAAATACAAAGTTATGGCATGCCCTGATGTCTCTTTTCTTCCCAAAGTGGTCTCTCACTGCCACTTTTCCCAGCTTATAGTCTGTCCAACCTTCTTTCCCAACCCATCTGCAGCCTTGGAAAAAGACCTTCACATGCTGAATATTTGTAGGACACTGGCCTTTCATATCTCTCAGACTGCTTCCTTTTGCATTACGCAAGAGATTGTTTGTCTGTTATGATACCGCAGCTAAAGGGTCACCTGTTTCCTCTCAGTGTTTTTCTCTCTGGGTTATTTCTACTATTGTGTTACACTGGGCCAGAATTCTATTTCCACAATCTGTTAAGACTCACTCGACAAGGGCTGTTTCCGAGTCGACTGCCTTTCTGCTAACTGTTTCTCTCCAGGAGATGTTAAGAACTGCCACCTTGGTCCCAGCCTTTCACCTTTGTGCATCACTACAGAATGGATGGTCGTGATAAAGCATCTTTGGCTTTTGGGAGAACAGTACTCTCAGCTTCTTTGGTGTGTTATCCCGCCTACCAGTATGTGAGCTTGCTACTCACCCATATGTGTGATTCACAGAGGCCACAAAGAAGAAGAACGGGTTACTTACCTGTAAACGTGTTTCTTTGAGTGGTCCTCTGTGAAGTCACACAACCCACCCTCCTCCCTACTGGCTGTCATGTTTTCTCTCCTCTTTTTGGTCCTTGAACATTGGCGGCCATGTGGAAATGAGAGGGTTGGGTATTTGCATGCCAATACATGTGCACTGAGAGGGGGAGGAGACTAACGGTTTATCTTTTTAAGATCTAGAATGTTCCAAAGTTTTGTGCACGTGCGCAGCAAAAACAGTATGTCTGACTTTATGGAGGACCACTTGAAGGATCACATTTACAGGTAAGTAATCCGTTCTTTTCTCATGTGTGATTGAGCCCTCAGACAAGCATATATGGGGCTGCTTAGGCTGCTATCCCGCAGTCGTCTTCTTTTGGTCTCGATCCACCTACCCTTCTCTTCAAATAGTATTTGCATGCTGATTACAGTTTGGTACTACTTGCATTTCTTGTATGTTAAAATGTATTGTGTTATTACTGTTGGCAGGGTTCAGTGCTTGATGCTTGGAATACATTATGTAAAGACAATGTTCTTTTCTGTTGCAGCATTTCTGATGGTGGAGAGGGAGGGTTTTACACAGAGAATGGGAGACAGGCAGTCAGGCACACTCTCAAGCATGTGATTCCCCCCTGCATGGGAGAGGTCTGAGTGGGGGACAGACAGAGGCATTCCCCGTTTGAGAGGGCTGCCATAGTCCCCCACAACATACTAAACTGGCTCCACTGGTGGCCTTGTGCCCTGGATCATATTCATAAGCATATTCCAACACATGACTTCCCAGCAACAGCCTGAGCAGACCATCCAACGCTTGGATCTACTCCTCATCCTGCACCAAGTCTATTCCTTTGTAACCAAATTAGATAAGGCCTTAATTATCTATCTATCTATCTATCTATCTATCTATCTATCTATCTATCTATCTATCTATCTATCTATCTATCTATCTATCTATCTATCTATCTATCTATCTATCTATCTATCTATCTATCTATCTGATTTTATATATATACAGAATGTTTTCAGATCCAGACTCGTTTGCCCATTCAGCCATTCCTACTCACCAGAAGAAAACTACACCATAATTACAGTCTCAGTTTATTGGAGCTGAACAAAAGGAATGATGATAAAAGGCCTTATCTAATATACATACACAGTGGTGCCCCGCTTGAGGACAATAATCAGTTCCAGGAAAATTGCTGGTAAGCGAAATCGTCGTAAAGCGAAAAACCATTGGAATGCATTGAAAACCGGTTACTGTGTTCCAATGGGGAAATATCTCATAGCACAGCGAAGATTGCCCATAGAGAACCTTCGATCAGCTGTTTAAAATCGCTGTCTTCTGAAGCTTCTGTCCGGAAAGCAGCCATTTTGTGAATGGAGGGAAGCCATTTTGCAAAGGGAAGCCATTTTGCAGAGCCGGAAAAAAACACAGTTTTGCGAACAAACAGTTCACGAAGCAGGCACCTAATCGATGTAAAGTGAAAAAAACCATACAGTAGGTACCATCGTTTTGCAATCACTATAGCAATCGCAAACAACTCATCGTCAAGCGATTTCATCATCAAGCGGGATCGTCGTCAAGCCGAGCACCACTGTAAATCAGTTTTAGGAGAACTATAAAAACCTTAAGAAAGGAATGTGTTTCTTGTGATGCCACAAGCACCAGCCAAGCAGCACTGTGCCCAAGAACCAATTTTGCACAGGCTCATGCGGTTTAGTGTGTGGGCTTCAATATTGACTTAAATGTTGAAACAACTGGACCGCGCTCACACTTTTCTTGATCAGTTTGAAGCCATAAGGGATGAGGTGCCCCAGGCTTGGATTACAAATCGCCTCTGCATAAAGGGGAAAGGGTGTTCTTGAGGTGTTCTATACAAAATAATCCTATTAGAAGTGTCTCTTCTAGCAGATTGTAGGGCCCAGCATTCCAATGTTAAGAAAATTATTTGCCTCTGTTAAGGGACCGGGGGGGGGGAGAGGATATTGTTGCAAACTTTCTAACAGTCTTTGCTTGGGCACAGGTGATAGACAAGATTGGCAAGGCCATCTCTCAGACAAGTGGCTGCGTGCTGCTGGATGTGGATGCGGGTCCTTCCACAAATCGGACAGTTTACACTTTTGTGGGGAGTCCTGAAGACATCATTGAGGGCGCACTGAATGCAGCGAGAACAGCTTTTCACCTCATTGACATGGGAAAACATCAAGGTAACTGGAAAGAGATGGACAGAGATACTAGGAGAGGCAAACAAAAGAAAGCATTATGCTTTCTGTGTAGTCTTTTTGGTCTGAGAGAAATTATTTGTGAAAGGCAAGAGTAAAGGCCTGGGATTTGGGCCTGCTGGCTAACAGTTCAGGATCCTAAAGCAATGGATCTCTCACTCTCCCACTCTCTCTCTTTCCATATTCCCATATGGACTTTGCTGAGTTCATGCTCTTCCCACATAGAGGGAAGCTGTAAGAGTCCAAGGAGAGTTGTGTGCATGTGCGCACATGCTCTCCTCCTTAAATCCCCACCCATCATGGTTACACATATGGCCTCCAAGGTGTCATCCACATCTGTGCCGCCAACACCCCAGTCCACAAATGAACTTCTTAGGCACCCTTCAGTCTCAAAAGATCATGATAACGTGCTCTGTATGAGTGTCCTGTCCAGAGCACGAAGCCTGGGTAGAATAATATGGAGGATAGGCTGTTACGCAAGCAGCAAATCCCCCTTCTCCACGTCACTGAAATAGTCCAATGGAAAGGCAGGAGCCAATACAGCTGGTTCCAGCGACGTTGCCAGAACGACACGGACTGCCTCCCGGACTCCGGCTCCAGATTTTGCCTCGAGGTTAACTCCTGAAGCCTTTTCCATCAGTGGATATAGCCACAAGGCAGTGGAGGTTTGAAATCGGAGTTTTCCTTCTCCTAGATGGGCTGCTTTCCAAGGCTGATGAGCCCCACCTCAAGAATCTCACCCTGACTCTCAGGGTGGCGGAGAGCCCACTCTTGCCAGCAGGAGAATTAGGCCAGTCCCATAGAACCATTTTGCAATTCTTCCTAGCTCTTACTGTGAGAATTCTAGCTCTTTCAGAGAACTAGAACATCTCAAAGCAAAAACCTGGTGGTAGCCCTCTCCTTTGCAGACTGAAGGACATGCGTTCCATTCTTTCCAGAGTTTGGAAAGTGACAGCCACCCAGAACATTTCAAAATGCACACGCCAACCAGTTGAGGTGCGGGCTCCACTCCATCTGGATTAACACCTTGTGCTCCTGTCCTATTTACTTCTTTTTAATAGTGCAGTTAACATGAATGTACCCTGCACTTTCACTTGTCCTTGATTTTAAATTATTAAATGGTCATTTGGGGCAAAACTCTATATTATGTGTCAATAATCTCTAAAGAACCCTGCTCAGACATTTTTTTTTCAACTAGAAAGCAATGAGTGTGTGTGTGTGATTTTGTGTGAAGGGAAGTATTTAATTGTTCTTGTGCCAGTTGCACCTCCTCTCCAAATATTATTGCCAACCAGTTGATTCCAAGTTAAGGTGATCATCCCAGGGCTTTCTGGGTATAAAGTACTCCTTTTGATGGCACTCTACAACTATGCAGCTTGTCTTTCATAACATTACTAAAATATGAGATACCAGAATATAGGGCTTGTTTCTAATTTGTGTTTTGAGACAGGGTCTTTGATTTGTTGTTTGACCATTCCTCTCTTGGTACTTCTCTCTTCCATAGCTGCTCATTTTCTTTCTCACCCTCTTTCTGACTTCATTGCTCATTTCCAAAACCCTGTTTGCTTTCGGTAGGTGAACATCCTCGGATGGGAGCCTTGGATGTCTGTCCATTCATCCCAGTCAGGAATGTCTCAATGGAAGAATGTGTCCACTGTGCTAAGATCTTTGGTAAACGTTTAGCAGATGAACTGCATGTGCCTGGTGAGTTGGTCACACCCCAAAGATGAGGAAGGTGCAGCTGAAAGACAGTACCTGAACACCTAGTGCCAACAAAGTATTTCTTTCAAAATCTCTTTTAAAATCAATATGCCCCCATTGTCTGCTTTGCACAATATTTTTCTGTGATAATTTTTGGAGACATCTGATACATACAAACAGAAAACCCTCTGTCTCCAAGTCGCACTGCACTGGAAGCCCATATGCCTATGCAACCTGTACAGACTTGTCTATGCATATTTATGTATGCCCATCGGTCCCTATGTGCAGATGTCTGCTCCAGCACATGGAGACCAATTGCAGAGGGGACCTGGGAGTCCAATTCTACACCCACCACTAATTTATCATCTGCACAGGGCTATAAATTCTTTAATGTGAGATGCTTCACAAGGCAAGAAAGCATAAAGGCATTCAATACAGCTGAGGCAAATTGGTGTGCAAGTCAGCTCCTTGCTTGTGCTAAGTAAAAATAATTTGTTAAAAAATTCCTCAACAAGCATGACTTCTAAGTGCCCTGTACCAGCTTGACTTCTTTCTCCTATGAGAACAAAAGGTTGTATCGCACTGCTGTTTTGCACTTGCTCCAAGGATGCTATGCAGTCAGGGTAAACAAAGCCCCTTCCCCCGGTGATGTTAGACTGATGTTAGACTCCCAGCATTTGTCACCACTGGCTATGCTGCCTAGGGGGCTGGTGGGAATTGCAGCGCAGTGATATCTGGAGGACACTGCACTTTGTCGAACCAAGCTGCACACATTTCCTCCTTTCCCAGCACACCAAAATTGTAGCCCTGCTTCTTTCCCCTTTGCTGGCATTTGAAACATTCAGGAACTCAGGAACTGAGACAGAAATATCTGTAGGAAATTACAAATAATCCAGAAATATTTGAATAGAATTCAGTCATAGGTTGCATGACAAATATACAAATGAAAACCAAGCTATTTATTTGCATATTGAAAGGGAAAACAAATGAACAAACTAGGCAGGATTGTTTAGGTTCCAGTATATTTCAATTATAGTAATTAAATATACTTAAACAATGCAAACTTATGTTTCTATAGACTCCCAAATGCCCACTACTTAAGGGGACCACTTATAAATGGGGACCCAGACTTACCTGCTCTGAAGGAGGGCTCACCTGGGCTCAGAGCACCCAAGCAGCCATGGTGGTGGTCAGGCAGCCCAGAGGAGCAATGAAGAGGGTGGCTGCCAGAGACCTGGTGGCTCTGATTGGCCATTGTGGGTGGGGGTGAAGTTCCCCTTCCAAAACCAAAGCTGGGTATTCATTGGTGAGGGGAATCCAGTTAAAAACACTGGTGCAGATGGACTAAAAAAGGAGGGTTTTCATCTGGTCCACCTGCCCAGCTTAAAACTTATTACATGATGCCAATAGTTCTACTTCGTACTACTTTGTGCTGAGTCCGGTGGAATATGTGTCTGGGCGAGAATCCTGATGACTGAAGACAGAAAGGTACCAAAACTGTCTGTGAATGGTTTCAGTGTCTCATTCGTTTTGCAACCAGTTTCAGGGGTCTCTATTTCATATCTCCCACCCCAGAACTGCACAACTGCAAATAACTTGTAATGACCCTATTATGATTGGCAAGATAAAACTTGGGAAAGCTGACTGTATCATTTGACATAAATTGTGCACAAGTGTTAGCATTGTTGGGCCTTTGCCAAGGCCCCACAGCCCACTGACCCTCTTCTTCTTCCTCCTCCTCCTCACAGTCACTGCCCAATCAATCATTTTTGACGAGCAAAGGATGAAGAAAGAAAACAAGCAGCAGCCTCACTTACCTTTGCTCTCCCCCTCTAAGTGGCAATTTGAATTAGAGCCCATAGGGACAGGGCGAGTGGGTCAGTTGTAACAACAGTAACAAAGAGGTGGTAGGGTATTTTCTCAAGGGACCTTTGGTCCTAAGTCGATGATGTGGCAGACGTCTTGCCCATTCCTTTCCTTCTTCCACTCCCCCCAATACTGGATTCTCTAAATCACAAGCTGGCAACTCTAGACCACATGACCCTTCTCTGCAAAGTTGTTTTTCCCCTCTTGCAGTGTATCTGTATGGTGAAGCTGCTCGGAATGAGAGCCGGAGATCTTTACCAGCCATTCGGGCAGGAGAATATGAAGCCCTCCCTGAGAAAGTAAGATTTCAGTGTTGAAACAGTATACTACTTCGAGAACAAAAGACTAGTGCCATCGGTTTCATAGGAAAACCTTTTAAGAAAAGATGCTCATGTTCTATGGGAGCTAACTTCCACTCTCCAATAATTCTTACATTTGCAAAATGGTGTTACCACAGAGGCAACATCAAACACTTCCTGACTGTTGTACTGTTTACTAAAAGCAGTGCCAGTCTCTGGAGTTGGGATTCCCTTTTAATGCCTGTTCATGACGCTTTTTCCATGTCCATGTGGTTTTTACATTGCAAAAGAATTTTTAAAATGTTACATTTGAATTTAAAAAAATTGTCTGATTTAATTTACCAGTTTCTTTTCAATGTAAATATTAGTAACATGAAAAGTGTCTTACTTCTGCAAAAGACTTGAATACTTCCAACATAAGTCTAATATTTCCAGAGCTGCTAAAAATATGCAGTTAAATTTCAGAAAATGTGTGAAACAACTGACCTTACAACTAAAATTGTTCCAAATTATTCTTGTGAAATTCTGAGGCCTAAATTGCTGTCCTGTTTGTGATTCCCACCATTATATTACACAAACCATAACCAATGTCTCAGACACACACTCTGTTACATGTTATATTCTATGAACTGCAAATAGCAAATTAAAAAAATATTTTTTGACAGAAAAATTGTACAGATCTATTGTGCTGGTCTTATTCTTGAAAGACACAAACAGGTAAGGCAGCCAGATAATGGGGTTACAGAGCTATGTGCATTATAAGCAGAATTCCCAAAGCAAATATTTGTTTCAGCCATGTAATATCTGGCAACCATGAAGTGAAATAACTCCATGGATTGTCATTTTCTGTCACATTATTCTCTATTAGATCTTGGAAGTTCCCCAAATTGTGTTCAATGGATTTATTCATGTCTTGATACATAACTTTGCACTCAAGAACCTTGTTGTTGTTTAGTCGTTAAGTTATGTCCGACTCTTCGTGACCCCATGAACCTACTGTTTTACAAAACCCTCCTTCCTTGGCCAACAAATAATCCAACGCCAGGCAATCCTGCATTTGTACTTGACTTAAACTCTCAATCTCTTCTTGTAGTTCTTTAACTACTTGTGTGGTGGCATTTTCTCTAACCTACAGGTAAGATCCAGGATGCGTCTCCTATTTTCCTGTGCTATAATCCCCGGATAAAATCCTAGGGTTCTTATCCATGTTCCCGTTACAGCACAACCACCTTCTCAACTTCCCCTTGATCCTGATAATTGTTCATCAATTATTACTTCATCCCTACAAGTTGGTCCCAAAGGGTCTTTTATTCAGTCCTTTCCCACATTTGCACTCCGTCTTGATCTTCTTCCTTCTTCAGGCTTGATTACCTGTACCGGGAAAGTCAAAAATCTTACTCCCACACAAGCACCCCTTTGATACCCTGGGTGATAATTGGTAGCCCATCCAGAAAAGAAAAACCAAAGATTTGGATCTTTAAGTATTTTTATTTATTTATTTATTTATTGGACTTATATACCGCCCCATAGCGCTACAAGCCCTCTCCGGGCGGTTTACAATTTTTTAATTATACAGGCTACACATTGCCCCCCCAGCAAGCTGGGTACTCATTTTACCGACCTCGGAAGGATGGAAGGCTGAGTCAACCTTGAGCCGGCTACCTGGGATTTGAACCCCAGGTCGTGAGCACAGTTTTAGCTGCAATACAGCGTAGCATGTGTTCACAAATGCTTCCTGTTCCTGAGTAATTTGCTTGCAGAAGGGGAAAGGCAGGATATATGTCAGCTACAGTGCTATCAGTTGCATTCATTCCCACCACCCCATATGTACTTGATCCACTACCATTACTAAAAAAAGTTGCCACTTCACCAGAAAGCCAAAAGTGGACCCTACAATGTGCATAGTTCCCCAACTGGTTAAATCGTTCCTTAGACTTGTTAAATCCTGGTCCTCTTCCATTCCAGTTACCTTGATGAGTACAACAGAAGCACAGCCCTTTAGTTCTTGGTATATCTCAGCCATCTAACTTCAGTTCCACTTAAGTGTTCAGGTACCTGTTGAAATAATATTTCTTTTCTTTCTCTGTCACTTATACTCTGTAATGAACTTACTATTAAAGAGGCATCATTTATCAGTCCAGGTACCACACTCATGGGTCCTGCAGAGACTGGAGACTCATACATCAAGGTCACATCCTTTCCCATTGTTTTAAATATGTGGTGTGCCTGTCTTGTCCGTGTTTTCCTGGTCCAATAACCTGTTAGAACAGTATCACTCCCAACACAAACAAAAGCAGGCAACCCATTTTAGTCCACACTTCCGTGCCCCTTCAGCTTTATCTTGAGAAGATCTGTCAGGTCTTGGGAACATGTCCACTGACTAGAATTCTCCTCTGCTGGAGCTGGCATCAACTTTGTCTGTGTGTGGTGGGTCCACCCTCTTTTGGCTGTTCGTATGGAAGTTTCGGTTTTTAGCAACACCAAGTGGGGTCCTTCTCAGCTAGGCTGTAGTGGCTCATGTCTCCACCTCTTTATGAACACCCAATCTCCAGGCTGTGTTTTATGTACAGGGGCTTCCAAAGGTGTGGTCTGATGTAGTAGTGCCTTCTTCCTATTGAAAGTCAAAATAGAGAACAAGGCCAGAATATATTCTTTCAAAAACACATCTTTCATCTCATGGATCACCCTGCAAGGCTTGTCTGGCGCTATGTCCCAAATAGATGCATCATTTCAAAAGGGGACAACCCCAGCCCTGTCCTTGGTTTTGTTTGAATCCCAAATAAAGCTAATGGTAGTAGTTTCTCCGATTTTCCAACATCAGTCTTTTGAGTATATATTTCAGAGTGGCATTCATTCTCTGCACCCTCCCAGAAGAAGGCGGGTGCCAAGGGGTATGAAGTTCCCATTTTATCCCTAACTGCTTAACTATTCCTTGGATTTGTATTTGTGAAGGCTTTCACAGCGGGGATCTAATGGTTGTTGTGGGTTTTTCAGGCTCTTTGGCCGTGTTCTGAAGGTTGTTCTTCCTAACGTTTCACCAGTGTCTGTGGCTGACATCTTCAGAGGACAGCACTCTATGCTCTTGAATTATTTTTCCTGTAAAGTGAGGGCCTCTATCTGAATCTATTACTTCTGGCAAACCAAACCTCAGGATAACTTGTTCCAGAAGGCATTTTGCCACATTCCTCGTATTTGCTTTTGTCATTGGAAATGCCTCCACCCAGCCTGTCAGGTGATCTACTATTACCAAACAGTATTTCAGCTTGCCCACCGGTGGCAGTTCTATAAAATACACCTGTATCCTCTGAAAAGGTCAGGTAGCCAACGATCTCCCTCCTTTAGATGCCATCTGTTTTCCTGATTTACCTACCTTCTGGCAGATGAGGCACCTTTGTGTAATGTCTTCAGCTAGCATCCATACCTCCATCCCAACATACAGTACTTCTTTAAAAACGCTTCTACCAGAACTTCAGTTCCCCAGTGCCCTCCCTCATGTAAGAGAAAAAACCAGAGATCTGTTCAAGATTGGTAACTGGACCTGATCATCTGGCCTACATTTGCAAAAGTCTCCCATCTTTCATACATTTTCGCACTGCTGCTGTAAGGATAGTCCTTATCTGATGGGGAGAATGTACTATCAGTGCCCCATGCCAAACCAATTTCCGGGCTGCCTTTACTGCAACCACCCCTGCTGCACAAGCCTGTAGGCAAGATGGCCAGCCTTGAACTACAGGATCCATCATTTTAGAGAAATATGATATTGGTTAATAAGCTCCCTCTTTCTTCTGGGCCATGACTGTCCTACAGAAACCATCTTTGTCGGATACAAACAGATGAAAATATTTTTGCATGTTGGGAAGACCTAGGGAAGGTGCTGAGATGAGAATTTGTTTTTGCCTGTTTGCAAAAAAATAGAGGAAAATAATAGAAAAGAAAAAACCAGAGATCTGTTCAAGAAAATTGGAGATATTAAAGGAACATTTTGTGCAAAGATGGACATGATAAAGGGCAAAAATGTTAGTGATATTGATAGGTGAAGCAATAGTTCTTAATTCACCGAGAATTGAGAAAGGAAAGAGGAAAGTGAAAGTTAAGAAACATGCCTCAGTGTAGAATTAGTGTAGCAAGTAGGAAAACATATGTGGGCATAGGTGCAGTTTGCGTTGTGTGATAAGTAAGATGTGAGCTTTCCGTGTTGGTCAGGATTGGCCAGAGGGACAGAGAGGGGTTGCGTTGTGTTGGGTATAAAATGTATGACTAGCAGAGACCACACACCCCTAGGTGTGTTCTCTCCATGCCTACAGACATGAAATAAAACTCATTTGCTGTAAGTCTTTGTGTGTGTGTGTGTGTGTGTGTTAATAGCAGAGTACCACACATAACAATTTGGTGTCAGAAGTGGGATATTGCTCTATTGAGTTGGGGAAACAGTTTTTAAGTAATCGTCCCCCCATTGGACTATGGGAGAAAGGGTTCGCTGCCATTGGACAAGGCAGCAATCCATGAAGGGGAGAGGGGGAAGTAGCACCACCCAATGTATCCCCCCCAAAAAAAGAGCTGAAGTTCCTTGTCATACTTCAATATGATGAGGAAGCAGGAGACTGACAAAAGGAATGACATAATTTACATGCAATTATTACCGCATGGAAGAAAATCCCTTTCAATGATTTTGGAATCAGCCAGATGTTAAATGTTATAGCAAGCTAGCTACCCAACTCTACCTTCCTTTGTGGTACCACCACTCCTTAGATTCTTCTCAATGTGCTTTCAGCTCAGAAAAGTAGAATGGACTCCTGATTTTGGCTCTGCAGACTTTGTTCCAACCTGGGGAGCAACAGTGACAGGTGCACGGAAATTCCTCATTGCCTATAACATCAATCTGCTGTGCACAAAGGAGCTGGCACACCGGATAGCACTTAATATTCGAGAGCAGGGCCGTGGCAAGGACCAGGTAAGCCAGGGAGCCTGGGGGGGGTGGTGGTGTCTGGATCTCCTTTGTCTTTCTCCCATTAGATACACAACTATTGCTTCCTAATTCAGCAGGGGCTATTACCATGTATATGTGTCAAGCATGTTTATATGTGTATTCTCTTACTTTTCTTCTCTCCATCATATGAATGCAAGTGTCTGTTTTGAAGATATCACTGGTGGTGGTTGTCCATATATTTAAATGGCCAGGCCGAAAGTATCTCAGCATCATATTCTTTTTTTGTATGTGTGCACCTTTGTACTGTACCATGAAATGTCTCAGACATATTGCAGCATTTCTGTTTCATCCTTTTTTTGTTCTTATTCTTCATAGAATCATAGAATAAGGAAGTTGGAAGGGGCCTATAAGGCTATTGAATTCAACCCCTTGCACAGTGCAGGAATACAAATCAAATGGTGTCTGCTAGGTGACTGCCTAAATTTCTCTCGAATGCCTCCAGTGTTGGAGCACTTACCACCTCTCGATGTCATTGATTCCATTGCTATACTGCTCTAATAGTTAGGAAGTTTTTCCCGATACTCAACCAAAATCTGGCTTCCTGTAACTTGAGCCCATTTTTAAGTATCCTGCACTCTGGGACGATCAAGAACAGATCTTGCCCCTCCTCCCTGAATGACAGCCCTTCAAGTACAGTGGTGCCTCGCTTAACGGGCGCCCCGTTTAACGACGAAATCTCATACCGACGAACTTTTTGCAATCGCTTTTGCGATTGCATTGCAATGTTTTAAATGGGGAAAAATTGCTTTGCGATGATCGGTACCCTGTTTCGCTTACCGATTATCGCAAAGTGATGATTTTCCACCAGCTGATCAGCGGTTCCAAAATGGCTGCCAGGTTTTTTTAAAAATGGCCACCCGCTGTGTTTAGGGACAGATTCCTCACTTACCAGGTCAGTTTTAAGCCCATAGGAACACATTGAAGGGCTTTCAATGCATTCCTATGGGCTTTTTAAAACCGCATAGTGATGAAATCGCTTTGCAGTGATTTTTGCTGCACCGATTAACGTCGCTATGCGAGGCACCACTGTATTTGAAAAGTGTCATCATATCTCCCCTCAGTTGTCTCAAGATTATACATGCCCAGTTCTTTCAGATTTTCCTCATAGAGCTTGGTTTCCAGCCCCTTGATCATTTTTGTTGTCCTCCTCTGAACCTGTTCCGATTTGTTGTCATCTTTCTTGTGACATGGTGTTCTGAATTGGACATAGTACTCAAAATGAGGCCTAACCAGTGCCAAATAGAGGGGAACCCATACCTCGTGGGATTTGGAGACTATATTTCTATTAATGCAGCATAAAATAGGATTTGCCTCTTTTTTTGGTAGACACATCACACTATTGGCTCATATTCAGCTTGTGATCTATGACTCCAAGATCCTTCTCGCTTGTAGTATTGCTGAGCAAGGTATCCTCCGTCTTGTAACTGTGTGTTTGTTTTCTTTGCACATATTCCTGTTGTTTCCAGCCTAGTGCTCAATCCTATTCAGATCATTTTGAATGTTGTTTCTGTCTTCCAGGGTACACTTTTCTACTTTTGCAAAGTTTTTATTATTTATGTTGTTTTATATATGTTTACTTTTATTATTCTTTGCTTGTTAGCCGCCTAGAGTGGTCCTGAGCTGACTAGATAGGCGGGATATAAATAAA